CTGGCCAGCCCGAGGTCCCCCTGCAACAAAGGTGAAAGATGTGAGTTAATATCTTTAGAGTGCTTTCTCGTTGCTGCAAGATGAATCACCTCACCTACATCTGCACAAGCACGCCAAACAAAAGGGCCTGCGGGCTGTGGCCACCCGGTATGTCTGCACTTTAGCCTCTTCAACCTGGCAGGATGATGCGTGACACACATCGCCAAAGAGTGGAAGGAGCAAGTGAATTTTGGAAAGGTCAAAATTGGTCCGAAGACAGCAGCAGCGGTGGAGGATGTGGCGGCGGCGGCTCTTCGAATGATCCTTTTCGTGACCGGTATGCCTGTCGCACGTGTGGGCAAGGGAACTGTAGACGTCTACTGTCTGTCGGCACCAGTGCCTCTGTTGGGACGAGTGCAGTAGGTATAGCCCAAGTGCTGGGAGCCTTTGCAGTTGTACTACAACTGTAGAAGATCAGAGAAGAGCACAGCTCTACTTCCGACCCTCATTTTGCTCCACGTTCAAGCTCCCTTCTCTGGCTGAAGACTTTCCGGAAGATCCATTGTCCAACCCAACCAAGGACTGCTGTGGCAGTTTTCATCAAAGTATACGGAAGGGCAACAACCTGTTTTCCTGTTCCCCATGCTGTCGCCACATGCCACAAGACTGCAAAGACGATCCTGTTTTTTCCAGTGTTCTCATGATTTGCCTTGGCGAGGAGCTGGATAAGTAGGTCGAAGGTGGCCTTGTTGTTGCGAGCACTTCCCATGCTGCCTTGCATGTAGTTCGTGATGGCATAGACGTGGCTCGTGGAGGCAGACCTTTTGATTCCCTCGAGAGCCTTCTCAAGTTCATCCCGTGGATCCTCTTTCTGACAATCCTTCAAGAACTCATCGCAGTGGGTGGCGGCAACGACATAGGGAAACTCCACAGTGCCTGCCGAAGCCGTCTTCAGAACCCCGGCGATTTTCTGCAAGTAGCTTGCCATCTCCTCGCGTTCCTCCCGCCAGTGGCACAGTGACATCACTACGATGGCTGCATGGGGAGGTCTGCTGAACCAGCTGCCCTCGGCTCGCCCCATATCCTGCCGTCGCAGGCCATCACAATGCCCACTTGACAGCAAAGTCTGAAGCTTTCCCTGCGTCTCATCACTCATGGTAGCAAAAGCAGGGTTGTCAATGAAAGTCACTTGTGAGTGACTCACATCAAGCTGGAGGCTCTTCGTTGCAAGTGTCTTCTCCTCAGGACCAGCTGGTGCTTGGTCCAACTGGTCACTGACATCCAAGTCAGCATGGAGGCAGCGGTAAGCATGATTGACAAAGGAAGACTTGCCGTGGTGCTGGGGGCCAAGGACAAGAATCTTTGGGTGGTCATTTTTGCTTTTCATGAAATCACAAAGGTCTTTCTTCAAAAAGCTTTCAATCCTCTCATTCAAGTCTTTTCTGGTTTCCTGGTCAGAAAGCTCGTCCTCCCAAGCAATCTGATACTCAACTGCATCACTCCAAGAGCCGTCGGACTTGGCCTTCAGACTGATCTTCACAACCCAAGCTTGTGCTCTGCTAAGTTCGTCTGGATGCGGCAGATGTGTTTGAAAGCCCTCGACTTGCTGCACATTTGAGTGGCTGGGCTGAAACATAGGACCCTCAAACGGAGTGTAAGTGATCGTCAACTCGAAGAGAGAGGCCCCCCCCCCTCTGCTTGCCAGTGAATCTCAAAGCTCTTGTCTGGGCGCACCTTCACCTTAAGCCCGGTCGGCTTTGGAGGAGATGATGGCATAGACGAAATCACCGCCATGCTTCGCACTGCCGCAGAACTCAGAACTTGGACGATTTGGACCAAAACGTCTGACAGGCACAGCACAGTAAACACCAAAGCATGGCAAGGACAATTGGGCTTACACAACATCCTAAGTTTGCCATCCGAAACACAAAGAGCGTTTTGAACCCCTGGCGGCTTGCCTGACCACATCCGGGCTCACTTCTCAAAACCTTGGACCGACAGATTTCGAGTTAGACTGGACGCGCCCTAAAAATCTTGCAAATATTGGTCATGTCATTAGGCCAACTCATTTTTTTGCCATGAAAGCTCACATTTAGCAGGTTCAGCATCTCTACTTTGCTCCTACCTCTTAGATGCTGCTCAAAACAGACTCCGTCCACACTTTCGGAGATCAACTTCATGGCTCGGGTCTGGCGTTCACCAACCACGCTGAGCTCGGGACTCTGCTCGACCGAGCAGATTGAGTCGATAGCCTTCGATGGTAGATGGTAGAGCAAACTTGTTGGACATGTGTCCGAACTTTCCGTGGAAAGAAAGCTAAACACTCAAAACTCAAAGAAGGCACGTTCACCTTCAGAAAAAGAAACATAACAACATGCTCGCAATGCTCACTGAGAAAGCTTCTATGATCGCTATGGAATCTTCTTGTGTCCAAAGAGCAGGCTTTCAGACATTCACAGGTGACATACCAAAAACACACAAGAAGAGCCTGAAGGCTATGTCTGGCCACCACTTGCTGGACATGCATGAAGAATCTTCAACCTGGACAGACGCAGCCAAAGGGTGGAAGAATGAGGGGCTGAATCTTGCCAGCAACTTGGAGCTGAATAGCACAGGCAGGCTGCACACAAAGGAGGATACAAGCTGATATCTATGATGCTGTCTCAGTCCTACCAACCACGCAAACAAGGGTGAATAAACACACCAAAATTATGTCGCCAAGGTTGGAGGAAGCTAGCAAAGCGAAAAGGTAGCAGGGAACAGGTTCCTTTTCCGCCAGAACTGCTTGCGGAATTTGGCTCTGTGCACTTGGTTCTGATGAAACCAAGAGCAGTGAGCAGCTGTACTACAGCACAGAAACGAGACAAAGTATAGTTTGTTTCTCATAACCGCCCGAGAAGGCGACAAATAACCATCAACACCACTGGTGTGATGGCACAAGCCACATGTGCCACATACCAGTTGCGGGTCTGCTTGACTCCAGTGTCTCGATGCTTAGCCTTGGTGAGGAGCTGGGAGAGAAGGTCGAAGGTTGCCTCATTGTTGCGGGCGCTTGCCATGCTACCACGCTTGTAGTTCGTGATGGCATAGACATGATCCGTCAAGGCAAACTTCTTGATGCCTAGCACGGCCTTCTCAAGCTCATCCTTTGGGTTCTCTGTCTGACAGTCCTTCAGGAACTCATCGCAATGGGTAGCTGCGATGACGTATGGAAACTCCACCATGCTCTGTGACGCGTTCTTGAACTCATTCGCAATCTTCATCAAGTACATCTTCATTTCCTCCATCTGATCACGCCAATGGCAAAGTGAGATCACCACAATGGCTGCATGTGGAGGCTTCTTGAACAAGCTAGACTCGTCGTGTCCCAGGTCACTGCGTCGTTGGCCACAAAAATTGCCGCTTGACAGCAATGTCTGCAGCTTTCTTGTGGACTCTGAATTCATGGTGGCAAATGCAGGGGTGTCGATGAAAGTCACTGGTGAGGAGCCCATTGGAATTTGAAGAGCCTCTGTAGCGACAGTCTTTTCTTCAACACCAGCTGGAGCTTGGTCGCGTTCATCATGGAGTCCCAAGTTGGCAAGGAGGCAACGATTCATATGATTGACAAAGGAAGACTTGCCATGGTGCTGTGGGCCGAGGACAAGAATCTTTGGGTTTTCTCCCCTCATGTCGCAAAAGGGTGCAAAGTATTTCCCCTGAAAGTTGCGAGTCCAGGCTTCGAGAGCTTTCTTTGCTTCCTCTCCAGGCAGCTGATCCTCCATTGCGACCTGAGCTTCCGCTGCATCGCTCAACAGCCCATCTGCAGACCTAGCCTTCAGGCCAATCTTGACCACCCAAGCTTGCCCCTTGTCAAGACTCTCAGGATGCGGCACATGCTGCGCGGCACCTTCTACTTGCAGGACATTCGAGTGGCTGGGCTGAATCATGGGCCCGTCGAAAGGAAAGTAGCAGATCTGCAGCTCATAGAGACAAGCTCCATCCTCTGTCTGCCAGCGAATCTCCAAGCTCTTGTCTGCCCGCACGGTCACCCTGAGGCCACGAGGAGCCTGAGATGCCCTCTGCACAGTCGGATGCACTGCCATGCTTGCCAAAGGCTAGAACTGGCACGATACACTGGGCCACAACGTCTCAGGAAAACTTCGGCAGTGGCGTCAATTTGAAACACACCAGCAGCACCTAAAGCTACAAAAGGACCAAGTTCTCATACAGTTGTGCTTGCTGATCTTACACTCAGAACTGGAGAGACATGTGCTTGCAAATTTTGATGTCGCGTAACTTCTCTTTTTTTGCGTTGTGAAGCTGGCTTTGAAGTCTGGGCAAAACTTTTGCCGCCACCTTCGCCTCTCATTGCCCAGTTGAAAATCTTCACTGCACGCGGAAGGACAGATCGATTGAGAGGTCATGAACAAATGAATAACAAAATCAAATCAAAAAGGTTGGGACAGTAGACCCCAAAGGACTGACTTCCTGCAGAAACCTGTTGTGTCTGCAATGCTTGAATCTGAACATCTTGTGTCTGTGTCTTCATTTTGAGTGTCTGAATCTCCATACCTTGCGCTTCGATCTGCATTTGGAGTTTCTGAATCTCCACTCCTTGTGCTTTCATTTGATCATGCGCCAAGCCTTGTGCTTTCACTTGATCACTCTGCACCTTTGATACCCAGCGGGAAAATACGAGATGAGAGCCAAAGAGCAATAGCCAAGGCAGCCAACGAGTCACCAATCTGTTGTCTACTGATGGCTTCGCCAAAGTCGCGCTCGGCTGTGGAATCGTCTCCCCCTCTTTCAAGGCTAGGCTGCAAATAGGCCACGGCTTCACCTGACCAGAAAAAGGAAGTGACACCAGGCAACAAAGAACTGACAGGCACAGCAATTGTGAGACAAGCTGCATAGAACAAGCAATTGGAATGGGAATGAGAAGGGTTTGTCGTGAGTACAATGCTTTTCATACCTTAATCTGTCTTATCCGTCTTCATGGAAGTCTAGTTCTTCACCACTTCATAGTCTTTCCTTGTCTTCACAACATCGTGGCCGTCTGCGCAACATTGACCGTCGCCGAAGCACCATGGTGTTTTTGTGTCCATGTCATATGTTTCACAACACCGTCATCACTATCACAGCATCTTCATCGACTTCACAAAATGTTGTCAAATTCACAATGTGTACATCGGATGGCTAAGGGTTGAGCGATTGAATTGGGGTGACCTGCATACAACGAGCAGCAAAGTGTAAACGGCGCAGAAAAGCCTGTCACCTCCCTGCACTTGTCACTCCGTAAACATGTTGCGGAACGAACACAAGGGCAAAAACACTCGTCAAATTTTTAAAATGCAGAGGAACCAACTGGTGTCTGTGCAGGGCCTGGAAAATGCAAAATGGTCTCTAAAAAACGAGTGAACGGCCCAACTCCGCACCTGCTCAGCATCAGATCTAAATCCATTCCAAACGCGCACCGTAGCACATCGCATGAAGTCGCCGAAGATGCTTTCGGAAAGACACGGATGGCAGTTCCAGGAATCTTCAGCTTTTTTAGTGGTGGGGCAAATCACGAGGTTGATCTTCTTCTGAACTTTCTCTGTCAAAATCCTGCAAAGTCGCACATTGTTTGGGCAATGCTCCTGATCAAACCACAAGTAGCTGGATGAGGCCGTCGCCAGCAAAAGCACTGAAACTTCAAAGGCCTCACAAGCAGCTCCGTTCAAAGAAAGTTGCTCCTCCAAACACGCCGTGTCCAGGTCTTTCTGCTCAGAGAAGTGGAACAATTTCATCTCAAGGCCGGTATGGGTGGGTCCGGCCTTCACCAAAGTATCAGCATAGCCACACAAGGCAGGTCGGTTCCTGATGTACACAGCTGTCTCAGACCAAGGTAAGTCATGTCAAAAGGCGTTCACGCTTTCATGGCCGCAAAAAATTGACTGTCTGACGTCGTAAAGAAGGAGAGAGCAAGGTGACAAGGGCAAGATTCGCATGATTGAACTAGAAAGGGATAAGCTTGCTCAGAAACATTGAAGAGCTAGCTGTAGCTCAACTAAGTGCCATATCAGGTTTGAAAGCGCTAAAGGTGTTTTATTGTTTGAGCGGGTCTTGTGAAAGAACAGGTACAATAATACTGCATGACTCAAAAAATTTTGCAATATATGCAATTGTTTCTGCAAACCGCATGCCTTTGGACTGAGGTAGTGGACACACTATAAACTACTAATCTGCAAAGCCCACCAAAAGGTCTGCCATGTGGAAAGTCGGGTGGAAAGTCACGTGAAAAGTTCAACTACCACACGCAGTTGAGGGTAACATTGTTGAGGTTGTGTGTGTGTGTGTCCCCTCTGGGCTCACGAGGTTCCAGTCGGAATGTTTTCTTTTCCTTGTCCGTGACAGCAGGGGGCCACCGTGGTCCCAGAGGAGCGGTGGCCAACGAAGACCTCCGCTGGGGCTGGTGTAAACGTACCTGCCAAACTGGTTACCTGTTGTTCTCGCTGTGGTTTGCTTTCATGGTGGTTCATGTGGTTCTGTTCCTAATCGCTACTCGCATTTCGTGTTTTGAGGCTTACTGACACCTGTCCTGGTTCCTTAGGTTTTTCACTTAGGCCGGCGTGTGGCACCGCTGTCAAGTCAGTATGCATTTCTATAAGTGTGTCTCTCTTAGTGAGAGCCCAGGGTGGCCCCGCAGAGTGGCCCCTGTGGACCCGTTGAACGGGGGTTTGTCGAACGTATCCCCTGCCCGGGTACAAAGCAGTCCGCAGCGGACAAAGTAGGCTTAGGCCAAAGTTATTTGCCAAGACTTGCTGAAGTATTGAATTCCAAGGTGGCTCATGCCTTTACGTGACCACAGCGGTCAAAGCAGCCAGCCATTTTGGCACGGCGTATGTGGCCGCGCCTGCCGAAGCTTGTTCAAGACTTGTCGGAGTCTGCCGGAGCCTTAGTGTGATGAGTTCTCTCCCACACTTCCCCGCACCACCTGCCATGCCACCTTCTGCTGCTGGCTTGGCTGCGACGGAGGGCATCCCTATGATTCTTCGTACTCGTTTTGCGTTTCTCTCTACTCCCTCCTGGGTCGGGTTCTTCAGGTGCAGTTACGCGGCCTGGGTTCTGCCATCCTTCAAGCGATGCAGGTCACTCATTCCGCCCTCCACGGCTTGATTCACACATTGAACCACCGCCCGGAACAACTTGATGCCGAACTACGTGGACGCACCTCCTTTTTGGACCCTCACACCTTCGTTTTGCCGGACTCCCGACCTTCGACCTCTACGACATCTACGACGGCTACATCACCGACAGGACTCCGTCGCTTCGACTCTGGCCCTAGTCGCCACTCTGGCCCTAGCGCTGCTTCGACTCGTTCACGGTCTCGCTCACGCCTGAACCCTAGATAGTTTGATCGTCTCACCCAGATCTTCGCCACCGCATCGATCTCAAAAAACCACCATGCTCTCTTTCCTCGGATTATTGTGATGTTACGCCTGCTTCATGGCACCTTGGTACCTATTTGTCGCACATCAATTTCTTTCCCACCGTTTTGCTCCACGCTATGTGGTTTCTTTGGCTCTATAGCTATCATGATTTCATTGTGCACTCCCTCATCAATGCACTGGAATTTCCTCAATCTTTACTTGATCCCTCGTAGGCCCCCTCACGTCGTGTTTTACATTCGCGCTTCTCGCGTGGTTTACTTCGATACTTGCATCCTTCTTCAGCAATGGATCGTCGCGCTTCCTCGGACTCCTCACACAGTCGCCGACGCCGACCCATTGGCCATCCGGGGTCCTCCAGATCCCGTGATTGCTCTACCAGCTGACTCACACTGATGCTCCGGACTATGACGCCGACGAGGTAGCTCCGACTCATCCCGCGCCAGGCACTGAGATTGTTCCGGACACTGAACCTATACTGACACTCCACCTGCTGCCCCTATAGCGGCTGCTTCGGGCACTCCACCCATGGCTGTTGAATCACCACAGATTTCCGTCCCTCGACCAAGTCTCGCTTTTCGACCTCGAGCTCATCCTGGACCAGTTCGAGTACGCACACCTCGAGCTCCTATGAACCGACCACCATTCCCTCCCACACCACCTACACAGCTCAATCCAGGTCAAGGACCACCTGTCCGAGCTCCGGGCTCAGTTCTACCTCTTCAGCCACGTCGTCGCCCATCACCACGCCCTCGAACCCATCCACACAACGATCGACCACCTTCCTCTCGTGATCATTACCTATATCTCACGATCGACGGACGGTGTACGTGAGCATCATCCACGTGACATCACCGTTCTTGCGGGAGTCATCGTGATCACCGCTCCTCCTCAAGGGCCCGAGAACGCAGCCGGGTACGACGCTCTGATCGGGACCGTGATCGTGCCCGAGATTCTCGCCGCCAACAACAGATCGTCGCCGCACTCCCTCCAGGCATGAGCGACGTGGCTCCAGAAATTCTCGACGATCGATCCACAAAAACACCCCTCGGCGCAGCCGCACCCCCACAAACCGTCGCTCACCGGCTCCCACAACTCCGGCTCCATCGACTCGGCCGGCCTCAGAACGGACTTCATCCGCGGCACCTGGACCGCCACTGTGGTGGTCCAGGTGCCCCGGATGACTACGATGGACTCCTGGACCTGGGGATGCAGCCACTTTGCCGAATACCACGCCTGACCCCGACGGCACACCATCTCGACCAACTACACCTCCACAAAAGCTTTCACCAATACAGACGCTCCTCCACCGGCAACAAGAACTTCGTCACCTACGCCAACAGTTTCAACAACAACATCAACTCCAACCATCACTACACCCTGCCCATCGGCAACTTCTATTCTTCAACCCCTTTCCTTTCTACTTTCGGGCTTTGATCCTTCCCACACAACCCACCACGACCTTCCACCCTCAGGTTCCGCAATCTCCACCACAACCACCTCCCACCTCCGGCAACACCACGACTTGACGCACCTCCCCGCACACCTACCACCCGCGAGAACCCTGACCTCTCCACTTCCCTTTCCAAGACGACATTCCACACTGTCTGATAACCCTGCTCGCGCTCACAAGATGCTCGACCTGAGCAACCGGCCACACCTACACAGGATCCGAGATGGAACATTCGGCGGCAACCTCGCGGCACCAGTTTCGAAACCCTTGAGGCAAACGAGCTCATCCTCTCCGTATTGGTGGCTTTCCTGAACTTCGCCTCAGTCCAGCTCCTCAGCAGTTCATTGTGGGTTTCCATGCGCAATCACACCTTTCAGGCCTGGGAGCGACTGCTGCAACTCATCCAGCCTCATCGTCAAATGTAGTTGATGATCGTGATCGTCCACCCAATTGGGAACTATGCCACCCACCTGCTGCACTAATCTGAGAGTTGCTCGACTGAGCTTGTTCGCCTTCTATCAGCCTCTCTTCGACGATTGCCTGCTACTCAATGGAACAACCACGTGAAACATTTCTTGCAGCACCTCTCCCGAGTTGAAGGGATCATGGATCGGCGACCTGTCTTCGCCCAGCGCAAATCCCTCATTTTGCTCCTCTAGAGACTCTAGACATCCAGACTACTCCTGCTATTACTACAGTGCATGATTTGCAATGCTGCGCTAAGTGCTAAGTCCAAGTCTGATATAGACAGTGACCATCAGTCATCTAGGGCTTTGACTCCAGTCCACAGAAGTACGACGTGGGGCTGAGGTAGTTGCGATGGGCTGGTTCGGGTGAGTGGTGTGACGGTGCGCGCGCGTGGGGGGAATGGTGAGCTGTTCGCATGTGTGCGTGTCCTGCTGCGATGGCTGGTGGTGTGTGCCGGTGTAGGGGAGTGAGAACGGTGTCGCCCCAGCTCATGGAGGGACCAAAGTGAGGGCGACTACTTACCCAGTTTTGGGCAACGATGGACGCATTGATGACTCGTCCACTCGCCAATACTTCGTGGCACGGGAGTGCTACAGCAGGGCACTTCAGCATTTCCGAGGGTCAAGTTCCGTGCTGATATCTGGCCTGATCAGCCAGACGTCCCTGCAGTTTTACTTGAGAAATTTCATCGTGGGCCCTGCTTGTAGCTAGAACAAGACGTCCAGCCTTTGCATCGGTTCGTCATCGGCAGATGTGCATTGTCACTTTGGATTTGTCGATTTGGAGTTGGAGGCCATGTAGGCTTTGAGTGGTTTGGAACCCGTACTTTATCTGTCCTGGTTTTCTTAGGTTTTCACTTAGGCTGGCGTGTGGCACCGCTGTCAAGTCAGTATGCATTTCTATAAGTGTGTAACCTTTGGAGTCACGAGGTTCCTGATGGAATGTTTTCTTCTCTTTTTTTAAGTAGGGGGAGTCAAGGTATCTTCGAGTGCAGGGTCTCTTAAAGCACAGCAGAAGCAGGTCCTTGGAGGTGATAACGTCTGGTGGTGATGAGGGGGAGGCGCCTAACAGTCGGTGCGGTGGCTCATACCCGACGGCCTTACTACTCGCTCTCCTTCCACATTCTTCCCCCTGTTTCCGGTTCCTCGGAACTCTCCGCTCTCGTCTCTGACCTTGACCAAACACACCGCCACTCTCTGGATGGACGTGGCTTCCTACATGGACACCTTCGGCGTGCCACTCGGCGAACCGGCACCACATGTGAACAACCTGACCCC